TGAGGATAGCATCATCCTAATACCAAACTCAGACAAAGATATTACAAGAAAAAAACTAAATAGCAATATCTCACATAAACATAGGTACAAATATTCTTACTAAGATATTAGCCAATCACCTCTAGCAATGTATCAAAAAGATAATAATACATCAAGATCAAGTGGAGTTTATCCCAGGTATTCAAAGTTGGTTCAACATTCAAAAATCAATCAATGTATTTTATTATATTGTCATACTAAATAAGAAACATCAGATGATCGTATGAATAAGTGCAGAAAAAGCATTCAACAATATTCAATATTAATTAATGATAAAATTCCCAACATGTTAGGAATAGAAGGAAATTTCCTTATTCTAAAAAAGGGTATCCATGGAAAACCTACAGTGAACCACTGAGTAATTTTCCCCTAAAATCAAAAATAAGTCAAGGATGTCCTTTCTCGCCACTACTATTCACTGTTAGTCCTGGAAGTCCCAGCTAGTGCAATAACACGTGCACACACACACACACACACACACACACACGCAAGCAGAGAGAGAGAGAAGTGAAAGGCATACATATTATAAGGGAGAAAAAATACCCCATTATGTTGAAAACCCCAAATAATGTACAATAAAACTCCTAAAGACCCTTCCAGAAGACTCCTAGACTTGATAAAGAACTTCAGTAAAGTTTCAGGACACAAAATCAATGTACAAAGCACAGTAGCATTTCTCTACACCAATATCATTCAAGCTAAGAACCAAATGAAGAACCCATTTACAACAGCCACAAAAAATAAAACACCTGGGAATACGTTTAATCGAGGAGGTGAAAGATCTCTACAAGAGGAACTACAAAACACTGATGAAAAGATTGTGTATGACACAAATAAATGAAAAAGCATCCCATGCTCATGGATCAAAAGAATCAATATTATTAAAATGACCACACCGCTCACAGCAATTTACAGATTTAATGCAATCTCTATCAAATTACCAACACATTTTTTCACATAATTAAAAAAACGTAAATTCATATGAAACCCAAAGAAGAGACTGAATAGCCAAACCAATCCTAAGCAAAAAGAACAAAGCTTGAAGTATTACATTCTGACTTTGAATTATACTACAAGGCTATAGCAACCAAAACATCATGATATTGGTATAAAAATAGACATATAGACCAATGGAACAGAATAGTGAACCCAGAAATAAAGTACCTATTAACAACTGATCTTCTGTAACATCGACGAAATTAAACAATAGGGAAAGAATACCCTATTCAATATATGGTGCTAGGAAAACGGGCTAGCCATATGCAGAAGAATGAAACTGGACCCCTATCTCTCACCATATACATGAATTAACTCGAGATGGATTAAAGATTTATATTTTAGACATGAAACTGTAAAATCCTGTAAGAAATCTTTCCTGTAGGAAAAATTCTTCTGGACATTGGCCTGGCTTAGGCAAAGAATTTATGACCAGGTCCTCCAAAGCAAATGCAACACAAACAAAAATAAACAGATGGGACTCAGTTAAGCTAAAAACCTTCCACACAGCAAAAGAAACAATCAACAGAGTAAACCTACCTAATGAGAAAAAATATTTCCAAATTATGTATCTAACAAAGGCTAATATCCAGAATCTGCAAGAAACTCCAACAACTCAACAAGAAAAAAAAGAAAAAACAAAAAAACAAGTAACGCCATTAAAAAGTAGGCAAAGGGCCATGAATGGGTGTTTTTTGAAAGACATACAAGTGGCCAACAAACATGTAAAAGATGCTCAATATCACTAATTATCAGAGAAATGCAAATTAAAACCACACAATACTATCTTACACCAGTCAGAATAGCTATTATTTAAAATCAAAAAGCAACAGATGTTGGTGAGGATGTGGAGAAAAAAGTAATGCTTATGCACTGTTAGTGGGAATGTAAATTATCACAACATTTATGGAAAAAAGTATGGAGATTTCGCAAAGAACTAAAAATAGAACTACCATTTGATCCAGCAATCTCACTACTGGGCATCTACCCATCTACATTTTACATATACATGGAATACTATGCAGCCATAAAAAATAATGAAGTCATGTGTTCCACAGCAACATGAGTGGAACTGGAGTACATTATCTTAAGTAAAGTAATTCAGAAACAGAAAGTCAAATATCACGTATTCTCACTTGTAAGTGAGAGCTTAACCATGGGTACACATGGACATATAGAATAATAGACATTGGAGACTACAAAAGGTGGAGGGTGGGAAGCTGACAAGGGTTGAAAAATTACCTGTTGGGTGCAATGTTCACTATTCAGGTGAATGGTACACTAAAAGCCCAGACTCCACTACGATGCAATATATGCATGTAAGAAATCTGCACTTGTACCCTCTAAATCCATTTTTAAAATGGAAAAAAAATCGCCGTAGGATACCACTTCATAGCCGCTGGAATGACTATTATAAGCAAACAAAGCAAAGAGCAAGCAAGTTTTCGTAGGGCCCTGGTGGGAGGTGTTTTTATCATTGGGGCAGGTCCCTCATGGGTGGTTTGGTGCCGCTCTCATAGTAATGAGTGAGTTCTCCCTCTGAATTCATGCAAGAGCTGGTTGTTTAAAAGACTGTGGCATGTCCTTTGAGCAGCTACAATTCATACATTGTTGATGACGGTGTAAAATAGTACAACTACTTTGGTAAAACTTGTTGCAGTTGTTTATGAAACTAAGCACTCACCTACTCTATGACCCAGCAGTTCCACTCCTAGGTATCTACCTTAGTGAAATGAAAATGAAAACATACCAAAAAAACACTTTTACATGAATGTTCATAGGAACTTTATTCATAATTACCTGAAACTGGAAAGAGTCCAGGTGTCTATTCATAAAAGAAGAAATAAACAGAACAGGCAAAAAATCTAATCTATAGTGGTAAAAAAATAATTCAAACTATGGGTTCCTCTGAGATGTATGTGCAGGAGTATAAGAGTACTTTCTGTAGTGATAGTAATATTTTATATCTTGATAAGGGTTTGGGTTACATAGGTATATGTATTTGTCAAAACTCAGTGAGTGTATATTTAATATTTTAAACATCAGTACATATATATTGTAACTTTAAAAAAGCTGTAAGCAAATATTGTACGCTACTTAATGATACAAATGTTGAAGTATTTTAGGGAGATATGTACTGATATCTGCAATGTATTATACTTTAAAATTCACTGAAAATAAGATTAACTGATGAATGGATAGATGGGAAGATTGGTGATAAAGCAAGTATAGAAATATCTTAATGGTAGAATCTAGATGTAAGTCTATGGGTTTTCTATGTTAAATGTTTTCAACTTTTCTATATGTTTAGAAATATTCATAATAAAATGTTGGGAAAATAATGAGTTACTACTCATTGTTTTAGGCACTTAGATATATGAGAGGTAACAGAGCGAGAGTTTCCCAGAGGAACTTATCCGAGGGAAGTAAATTAATATTTACACAGTTCCTACTACAAGCCAGGGGTAAAGGTAAGGATAACAATTTATTTTTATCTTCACAACAAGTGGGCACAGAAGGTATTATTATTGTAACTGGAAACTCATGACTAGCAGGTTAAGTGACTTGTCCAAGGCCAAAATCAATAAGTGGCAGTCAGGATTTCACACTGAACTCCTTCTGATTACAAAGCCTGTACTCTTTGTAGTATGTCAAGTTTTGCTGCTATCTTCACCCTGCCTCTTCACCCCGTATCTCTTTCCCTGCTCTTTTGTTTTTCCCTAGTACTTATCACCATTTGATATATTACATATTTGCTTATTTATTTTTAATTACTCTCTCTTGTCACTATAATGAGAATTCCAAGAGGGCCAAGAATTTTTGTCTGTTGTGCTTACAGTTTCATCTCCAGTGTCAAGAACAGAGCATCACTCTTGGTAGATGCTCATGGAATATTTGCTGAGTAAACTGAATTAATGCACAGTAACAGTTTGCTTGGAATAAGCAGAAGCAGGAGGGGTAATCCATCTGCAAAAAAAAAGCATAGTAAAAAGCTTGGCTGCAAGATGCAAAATAATTGGCTCCAGAAACCCAAAGTAGTTTGGTATAGCTAGGGCAGAATGTATGGAAAACATGAATCATATGCTAGAAGAGGAAGAAGGGATCAGATCATACAGAACCTTAAAAGCCATAAGGAAGGACTCTAGTCTTTCTCTGAAAGACACTGGGGAGGTTTAGAAGGATCTTAAAATGGGAGCAAAAGATAAGACTTGTATTTCAGAAAGGATGTTCTAGCTACAGCATGAGAAATTAATAGAAGAGGGCTCATGGTGGAAGCAAGGACATCAGTTATAACTTTAGCCATGGGACAGAAGAGTAGTCTCACTGCAAGAAGAGGCATTGTAGATAGAAAGCAGGGGATAGTTGGAGAAAAATATAGGAGGTTGAGTTGATAAGACTGGTTATGTAATATAAGGGAGAGGGAAAAATTAAATATGATGTTTATGGCTTGGGAAACTTAGTGGACGGTGGTGCCATTCAATGAAAATGGGAAAACAAGTGGAGAAGTAGGTTTAAAATGAGTAGAAGTGATGAATTCAGGTTTGAATATGATATGTTTTATATTCTACAAAATATGCAAGTTGTGATATCAGTAGTCAATTGAATACACTGGTGAAGAGCTTTGCATAAATCTGGGCTAGAGACATAAATGTTGTTGGGAAACCTAGCTGTTTGGTCACTGAGGATAATTTAATAACTGTTTTTCATTTTAATAATGTTTCATTTAAAAAATACTACCTCTAATATTTGACCCCACCTCCAAAATAAATCTAGTATTCTTTGGTTGATGGCTATTTATTATTCCATGGGAATTATAAGAAGAATACAAACTGTTTGATAATAAAAAGCTATGGAAAAGCAAGATTAAAATGTAGCAGATATAAGAATCTTAGGGATTTTTGTTACATTAGAAGGCTAACCTTTGGCAAACATATTACAATTGGGGATAGTTCTTTGATACTTACCTGATCAAATACAGCTCTTTATTCCATGGGTAGATATTTAACACTGGACCAACCCCAATCATGTGGTTGTGACATTCTCCAACATCTTCAATATATTCATGCTTCAATGGCACTTTACTGAGGAGTTCAAATTCCTCAGGTGCCTTTTGAAGTACCTGTTCTGCTGCATAGAATCCATCTACTAGCAGTGTCCTGCCACCAGTTCCTTCATGTTTAAGACAATGAAACACTTGAATGCTAAAGAGAGAAAAGAAAATTCTTCTGTTCAGTGGAAGAGAGAACATATCAAAATTCTAGAAATTATATATAAAATGATTACTGAACCTACTTGTCCTTTTCTTTTCATTTCCTAATTGGAAATCTCATTTCCTAATTGTTTTCCCCTCATAGGCAGTTGTACTTTTTTGTGTTTTGAAATATTAATGCCACTAGAGGTTTCTTCTAAACATATCTAACATATATTGAAGCTTATATGTGCTGGGCCCTGGGAATACAGGCATGAATAATATATAACCTATATTTTCAAGAAGCTCATAGTCTAGTAAGAAGAGATAAAGTAAATAAATACCAAATAAAATATGATAGGTACTATAATAAAGTTGCATACAAGATATAGTGGGGTCATAAACAAAGGAGCGATCTGTTCTAGTGGGGTGTTGTATAAAGAAATGTTTTGGAGAATGGAAATTGTTTTGACTAATCTTAAAGAATGAGCAAAAATTGGAGAAGAAGGAGATTTGAGATGAGGAGAAGGCATTCCAGGCAGAGAGAAAGTATGACCAAAGATACCAACGTAAAACAAGGTATATTTAAGGAAGAGAGTAAGAAGTTCCTATTGGCATAGCACAGAGTACCACAAAATGATTTTAAACTGTGAAACTCTACGACCATATCAATATTTTAAAGAGTCCATTATGTTGATAGTGTGGAACATGGACTGGTGAGAAGCAGTGTGACAAAAAAACTTGGAAGACAACTTGAATAACTGAAATAGTAAAGAAAAATATTGAGAGCTTGAACTCAGAAAGGGGCATTATAGAGAAGAAGACACGCCTGAGAGATACTGAGGTAGAAGTAGCAGAATTTGATAACTGAAGGACAGGCAAGAATCTAGAATAACTCCAGGTTTCTTGCTTGGGCACCTGAAAAATGATAATGTTGTTCACTAAGACTGAGATTACAGGCAAATATGCTATTGAATGATAATGAGGAAGTATGAGAGGTTGAGGAAGGAGTCCAGTTTAGAGGCATGTTAGAACAGCTAATCATATATGTCTGAATATGTTAACAGGGAAAGGTAAGGTGACTATTAATTGACCGGAAAACTAAGGTAGAATTTTCAAATTAATGAGGGGAAATAAAATTAATAGTAATTTAGTCAAATAAGCAAAACTAAGAAAAAGTAAACAGCAAATTAAAATAAGAAATAAACAAAAAGATAGAGTAAAATCAAGGACAATCTAATGTAATATAAATACAATTAAAAAGAGAAAGGTAAGCCTGGCTATATTGAAATTTCTGTGAAACTTCTAGGTCAGGGTTTTTTAGTTACCAGTTAAGATGTTTAAGGAAGAGAGGTGGATTTTGTTACAAGTGATAGCTAAAGCCAAGAGCATGGAAGAGGTCATTTGGGGAGATCATTTCAGGTAAGAAAAGAGGGATAAGGAGAAAACCTTGAGGAAGGATAATATTTAGGAAATAGACAAAAGAAGTCAGCAAAGGAGGCTAAGGAAAAATGGTCAGATATATAGGAGGGAAACTAGGAAAGAAGGAATATTTAAGAAACTTAGTAGTGGTTAACAGTATGTCTCAGGAGTCAAGTAAGATGACAGTACACACTGGATATCACAATTAGTTAGTTGCTGCTGATGTTAGAGAGAGTAACTTTAATTGCGGTGAGGGGTGGGTTGGGAAAACTAGATGCCTATGGGTTTGAGGAGTAAATGGGAAGTGAGAATGAAAATATATTGAATGTAGCTATTATTCTTTTAATAATCTTAGCCATGAAGTGGAAGAGAAAAACATGGCTGTAGCTAGACAGAGGTAGAGTCCAAGGAAGTACAAAAATAGAGAATTAAGATATGGGAGGCTGATAGGAAGGAGTCAATAGGTATGGAAAGGCTGAAGATAGAGGAGAGAGAAATCCCCAGGAAGCTGGAAAGGATGAGATCCAGAGCAAAGGTAGCTTTAGAGAGAGCAAAGCATATAACAATGAAGATGGTGATTAAAATGAATAAAATGATGAAAATTATACCTAATATTTATTGAACACTTAGTTTGTGTCAGGCAGTATGATCATATAATTTAATTCCTTAGCAATGCTAATGGATAGGTTTTATTACTAGTCCCATTTTACAGATGAGGAAACTGAAGCACAGAGAAATTAAGTTACTTGTCCAAGATCACAAATTTAATACATGTTCAGGCTGGGATGCAAATCTGGGTCTGGTTAATGACATAGCCTGAACTCTTAACTGCTATTACCACACTGCTAATCTACTTGGTCCTTGCCATTGATTACAAACAATTAAATTGAAGCCACCAACAGTTGTTTATCTCTGGTGTTGGTCATAAAGGGAAGAGCTAGTCAGTATTTGAACCTCAACCCCTGTACAGCTGCTTCTTATCCCATTTCCTCTTTTTTCCTTCTGTATCCACTAGAATGAGGATGCAGGGCTGTTGATCTCTCCATATATTGGTAACATTGAGCAGGATATCTAAAAGCTGCTTTGTTCTTCCTTCCCTGAATCAAACATTCTTAAGTTACAAACCCTTAAAGGAAATCAGGGTAACCATGAGCGATTGCATATTATCATCCTCATATAGTCTCCATAAATCTATGTGCACTCATTTTACTCATATCTTTGTGTCTCAAGCTTCTCATCTATATGCAGAAGCGAGATGAACAACAACAGAATAACCACAGAGGTGCCTCTACTGAGGAGCAAATGGTAGGAAAATTGAGTATAGTATGTATCATCTTTGGCTCAAAAGCATCTTATTCCATGTGAAAAAGTTATTCTTCCATCATTCCTCCTCTCCAACTTCTTGTAAATCAGATTCAAATTCTTCTTAATGCCATACTCAAAGCAGCTGTGTTTGCATGACGACACTTTTCCAATATGTTAATAACTAAATGCAAGAAATCTGTACAAATTTCAAAACTAATGGTTAGGCAATACTTTTTTGGGGGATAATTTATAATTACTTTGAAAAATGTAAAATTACATTTTAATAATTAACAAAATTAGGACTCCATTTATATAGTAAGATGAATTTTCCATCACTTAAAAATATTTTATTCCTAGGAGTCTGATATAGTTTGAATATTTATCCCCACCAAAATCTCATGTTGAATTGTAATCTCCAATGCTGGAAGTAAGGCCTGGTGGGAAGTGTTTGGGTCATAGAGGTGGATCCCTCATGGCTTGATGCTGTCTTCAGATAGTGAGTGAGTTCCTGTGACAGCTGGCTGTTTAAAAGTGTGTGGCACCTCCTCCATGACTCTCTCTCACTTGCTCCTGTTTTTGCCATGTGAACTGTTTGCTCCCCACTCACCTTCCACCATGATTGGAAGTTCCCTGAGGCCTCCCCAGAAGCAGATGCTGTTATGCTTTCTGTATAGCTTGCAGAACCATGAGACAATTAAATCTCTTTTTTTAATAAATTACCCAGTCTCAGGTATTTATTTATAGCAATGCAAGAATGGCCTAATACAGAATCTAAAATCTGAGTTAAGGTATTTCAAAATGATCATGTTTCTAGGGGAAGAGAAAGAAAGTCATACAAATCCCCAGCAGCAGATACGATCTTGGTTCAAATAGAATGGAAAATAATTAAGAAACCACTCAAGACTATCACATATAAAGACCTTACACTGTAAAAATCGAATCCACCTACCCACAGGGCTCTTGAAAATAGGTAGTGTCAGTGTGCCGATCCAGAGCTAGCTTGGTGTATGCAGTGTCACCTCTGGAGAAGTCTGAAGTGAAATACCACATCCTCCCATAAATGGTTTCTCTGTTAGAGGAAATAAAGAAAGACCTGTTAGCTATCTGAAATGTTCATTCTTGTCTTTCAAAACTCTTTCCAATACCTTCTTTAGTTACTCACAAATAACAATAGATTTTTTTGGTTCCAGAATTTCATCCATAAGGTGAAATTCAACTGTTTCATAAGGTGAAACAGTTGAACACGCTAGTCTTGACAATTCTGTCATTTATTAACATTCTAGAAAATTGGGGAGAAAACTGTGGAAGTATCATATTGTATTATGAAAGCTTAGAGAATTATCTCACTCTGATTATGTGCCCAGTTTTCATAGCCTTCATGAATTCAAGGTTCTTTTCTATGCTCACCATTCTTTCACAGAAAAAGATGATGTAGCTGCTTCTAGAAGTGATTTTTTTAACTTTATTTACTATTTTTATAGCTGTTGTCTTTCATTAGTACCATTTTTTCAATAATGGTGGTCATTTCCTAGTATTTGGTATAATCCAATTTGCAAGGATGACTGAAGAGTTCTCATATTCTTTATAAGACACAGAAGTGATTAATGTAGATCCTCACTCATCTTTTGGACATGGAGGAATAAGGAAAAGAGAACAGGATAGTTTCTGTTAGCAAGTATTTGGTGAGACTTGCTGTACCATTGTTGTTGTGCCTCTCCTTGAAGTATACATCATATATTTTGATTTTGTAATTATTTTCCTGGTGGGCTCAAATCTGACTAAAGGTCACTTTAATTCTTTAGCTTTCAAAGTTCATCTTATTTTCTGAACCCTTGAAATTCAAATAGGAAATGCTCTTCCTTTTGAACTATCATCCCTAAAGCTCTCTCAATTTATTGCTTACCAGCACAGTTTCTTTCACTTGAAAATTCTCGAACTGTGATTCAAACTGAGGGCTCACAGATGCTGTTAATTATGCTCTACCAGCATAGGGCAGAAGACCCAGCATACTATCTACTACAAAATGAGCTATATCTGGATTTTATTAAGTAAAAGGAAAGTACCAATTATAATAAAGTAGGTTGACATCACACTTAATACTATAGAAGATTAATCTATATACCACCCAGAAGTGTGGAATGGTAATGAAAAGAACAATGTATTTAAGATTAGGAAACCTGGGCTATTTGAATTCAAGTTCTATTGTTTACTAGTAGAGTGCTCCTGGGCAAGACACTTGGTATATTTGAGTGTCAGTGCCTCATCAGCAAAACGGGGACAAAACACACTGATCAGGATTACTAATAATGCATGGGAATGTGCTGGCTGAATGCTATATAGCCTTCTAAGGCAGTGTTATTAACAGTCAGTCTCTGAATCAAGCCATAGGAATCCCAGAAGGTCAAATTGAACAGATGGGAAAATAGAGGACAGCGGGGGTCGAGTGTGTGTGTGTAATGGATATGCCTATGGTCACACAACTACTTGATGGTAGAACTCAGACTACTATCCAGTTCTCCTTACAGTCAGTGTTTTTTTCCAGTGTACAATAATACCTGTCACTTGGGATCACTGGATTAGAAACATATTACCAACGACTCTGTAGTCATCATTATATTTTACATGTAAGTGTATTTAGAGATTAGAAATCCAGACTTCAAATAAAGCACTGCAAGTGGGAGTCCCCTTATTCATGCTACAAAATATTCTGGATTGAAAACAAGGGTGACCATACCTGTTATATTTATTTATTGGTGCTCATGCTCTGGAAATTAATTATAGTACTGTGGATTTTTGGAAAGAAATGAATTACCTGATTAAGCTGATCCTTTCTGCCAACTTCTCTGTGTGCTCTTGAGTGGGAGGGACATTTTCTACAAATGCAATTCCATAGAGCAGAAAGTTTTGCAGAAACTTCTTCAGTCCCTCGTTGGTTTCTAAGAAGCTCTGGCAATCTACAGATGGAACTTGGGCTTGCTGGTAGATTTCAGCATTCCATAGTATTCTAGGCTGGATGACTTTTTGTTTCTGCCCTTCATAGCTGTTTTTCACCAGCCAATTCAAATCATATTTAGTCACATGACCATCTGGCCCTTTTAAGGGGAAAAATAAAAGGCACTGAAATAATAATTACAAATAATGTCAATATTTGTAATTGGTTACAAATTATAATTGGTTACAACTAGTTAAGAATCTTTTTCTTAGCAATCAGTTATCCAGTACTATATTGTTTATGAAACCAAATTAAAATGAGTGCCTAGAATGTTTCTGAGACAGAAATATGTGTGGTTTGAGTGGTATGCATGAATAAATGAATGAACAAATAAATCTTCCCAGAGGCTAAATAAATTTACAGAATTATAGTTACATAGTAAAAGACCTTCTGGAAAATTCATCAAGTCATCAAAGAATGATAATCCAAGTAGGCTTTTACAAATCTACTTGGCACTCTCTCCCCTTGCCCCAATCCCTGTCTTCCATCTATATAGGAACTGAGAATGTTTGAGGTAGAAGGGGCTAATCTTTATTTTAAAGATGGAGAAAAAGTCAGTGACTCACTCAGGATCACACAACTAAGTACTATAGGTGGTACTAGAACCTCAACTTCTTGCTGCTAGAAGTTCAATACTGCCTTCCTCTTCTACATGATATAGGACATTGCTGTCTAATTATATGACATCAACACAATACAGTAAAATGACTTTGTAAGTGGCTTCACCTGCTGTGCACCCCCCACCCCAAAAAAGTTGAAAACCAACCCCAAAATGCTTTAGAAAATCTTCAGGATAAGCAAAGGAAGCAGCAGAAGGAGTGAAAGGCTATGTTGACAACTTGTCTCTCCTTTTTACTTCTCTCTCTCTTTTCCTCCCTCCCCTTGATAAAAAAAAGTATCACACTTTGGATAATTTGGAAAGCATAAAAAAGTATGAGGAAATTAAAAGTCACCATGTTTATCATTCTATCACCCAGATGAAACTATGATTGACATCCTGGCATCATTCCTTCCAGTTTTTCTATATATTCTCCTATTTTATGTAATTTATATATATATAAATATAGTTTATGTAATTTACATATATATAAAATTTGGGACTCTGCCATTGTCGCTTAACATTTTAACAATTTTTAAAATTAAATTTTATCATTTTAAAAATTCAACCTTCATTAAAATTAATTTTTAAAGCTTACAAAATGTACACTACCAAGATTTACCTAACCAATCTATTCTTCTGCGTATGTACATTTATTTTTAAAATTTTCCTATTATTTATTAGTGATCATCTTTAACCATATTTCTAATAATTTAGAAATAGAACGTGTATTACATTTCTTCAAAGTTTGTATCTTTGTATTTAGAAATTTCAAAGATATAAACTTTTAAGAGTTCTGATACACATAATCAAATTACTTTCTAGCAAGTCTACTTACCTTCATTCCCTCCAACAGCACATATTGTGTCCATCAAAATGGAGTATTCTTATACTTAAAATATATTTTTTTCTAATTGGGTAACTAAAGTAGAACTGCTATCTTGTAATAATTTTAACTTATTTGCTTACTAATAAGGCTAATAAGAATACTTTTTATATTTGTTAGACATCTATGTTTCTTTAATGCAGGGGCTACCAAACTATGGTTTATGAGTCAAATCTGGTGCTTGGTTTTGTAATGCCTGTTTCAGAACACATCTGTCCATTTTGTTACATATTGTTTATAGCTCCATTCACTCACATAGCCCACAAAGTTTAAAAATATTTACCATCTGGCTCTTTACAGAAAATGTTTGCTGACTCCTGCTTTAATGATTTGTCCGTTCAGTCCTTTCTCACATTTTTCTATTGGAATACTTGTACTTTTCTTACAATTTAGCAATAGCACCTTACATATTAAGGATTTTTAGTCTTTGGCATACATTTTGCTAATATTTTGCCTGTTTTTAAATAAACCTTTCTATGGCATTTTTTTCTATCGTACATAAATTAGTAGTCAATGCATGCATTGTAAGCATGTTTTTCCTCCAATGCTTTTTCTTTTAACTTTTTTATTTGGAGATAATAGATTCATAGGATGTTGAAAAGAAATGTGTAGGAAAGTCCCATGAGCTCTTCCCCAAGACTTCCTTGATGTTAACATGTTATACAGCCACACTACAATACCCAAACCAAGAAAGTGGTATTGGTACAATCCATTGGGCTTATTCAGATTTAACCAGTTAAACATATGTTCATTTGTGTGCATAGCTCTTTGCAGTGTAATTACATGTGTAACTTTGTGTAACCACTACCACAATCAAGATACTCAACCATGACTCCTTCGTGTTACCCTTTTATAGCTACATCTGCCACCTCCTACCCCTGCATCTCTAACTTCTGGCAACCAATAATCTGTTCTCTATAATTATGTTATTTCATGACTGTTACATAAATGAAATAATGCAGATTGGCTTTTTCACTTCAGCATAATTTAACTGAGGTTCTTCCAAGTTATGTGTCATTAGTTCGTTCCTTTTCATTGCTGTAGCATTTTATTATATGGATGGTTTATTTAACCATTCAACCATTGGGTAGTTTCCAGTTCTTGGTTGTTACAAATAATGCTGATGTGAACATTAATGTACAGGGTTTTATGTGAACATAAGTTTTCATTTATTTGGGATAAATGCCCAGAAGTGTGATTTCTGGGTTGCATGTCTGGTTTTTTTGTAAGAAATTACCAAACTGTTTTCTAGAGTGTACCATTTTACATTCCTATAAGCAATGTATGAGTGATAGAATTTCTCTGCATCTTCTCTAGTATTTGGTGTAGTTGCTGTTTTTTAATTTAGTCATTCTGATAGGTATGTAGTGCAATCTCATTGTGATATTAACTTTCATTTCTCTAACAGCTAATAATGTTGAACATCTTTTCATACGTTTATTTGCCATCTGTATATCCTATTCAGGAAAATGTCTGAGCATATCTTTTATCCATTTTAAAATTGCATTGCTTGTTTTCTATGCTGAGTTTTAAGAGTTTAGTCCTAGTGCAAGTCAGGACCTTAAGATGTTCTCATATGTTCTTTTCTTGAAGTTTTATAGGTTTATGTTTTACATTTACGTCCACAATCTACTATGAGTTGGTTTTTATATAAGGTGTGAGACTTGGGTTGAGGTTCTTTTATTTTTTGATTATGGACATCCAATTGCTCCGGCACCAATTATTGAAAAGACTATCCTTCCTCCATTGAATGGCTTTTGCACTTTTGCCAAAGATAAGTTGACTATATTTCTGTGGATCTATTTCTGGGTTCTCTATTCTGTTCCATTGATCTATGTATCTGTCCCTCCACCAATACCACATTGTCTTGATTACTGCAGTCTTAACATCAGGAAGTGATTTCTTCCCACTTAATTCTTCATTTTAAAAATTGTGTTGGCTTTCCTAGGGCCTGTATATTTCCATTTAAATTTTAGAGGAAGCTTGTTTATAATTATTAAAAAATCTTGCTTATGTTTTGACAGGAATTACATTAAAACTATACATCAATTTGGAGAAAACTGACATTTATTATGTTGAGTCTTCCAATCCATGAACATGATTTGCTTCTCCATGTATTTATGTCTTCTTTGATTTCTTTCATCAGCATTTAATAATTTTTTATAATATAGATCCTATACATATTTTGTTAGATGATACCTAAATATTTAAATTTATTTGAAGCTACTGAAATGGTCATTTTTCATTTCAGTTTCTGCATGTTTAAGTATATAGAAATATGATTGATTTTTGTGTGTTGATCTTGTGTCCTGTGACCTTACTGAACTTATTTATTAGTTTTCATAGTTTTATTACAGATTACTTGAGGAAGTCTATGTTAGGCTATCATGTATCTGCAAATAAAGAGTTTTGTGTACAAATTTTATTAATTTTTCTTGACTTACTGTAATATAATTTTCAGTACTATGATAAATAAGAGTGGTGAGAGCGGATGTTAAATAATAGTGGTAAGAGTGGGCATCCTTGCCATGTTCCCTGTCTTAGAGGGAAAGCATTCAGTCTCACCATTAAGTATAATGTTAGCTGTGGATTGTAACAATTTTATATGAAGAGAAAAATGTTTCAAAAAATCCTTCCAAAACAAGAAAAAAAGAAAAATAACTATTAACCTATTTTTGAAAGGAACAAACCATTTTCCACAAAATAACTGTCCTTCAGAAGAGTACCCCCAAAGAAGATCAAGTCTCCTGTCCACTCACAAGTAAAGAAGAGTGTGGTCTCGTCCAGACGAATGTTCTTTGGCTTGATACATAAATCCACACTGGCAGTATCCAGGCTGCGCTGGTGAGTCTTAGAGTTGTAGCACGATGCTGAGCGGCAGTGGTCTCGAAGCCAGACATAATCAAAGCGCATCACGGTATTAGCATATTTCAGCTCTAGGGAAAAGATCATGTTCATCAGAAATCAGCATCCAGAAAACTTCCTTCTAAAAGTCTTCTACCAAGAAATAAGCAAGAGCAATAAGGGTTGAGGGGAGGGACTTGCCCCTTACCAGATATTAAAATATACTGTAGAACTTCTATAATTAAAATGGTGTAATGTTGTATTTAAATAGATAAAATGATGGAAGAGTATAAAAAGCCCAGAAATATACCCAAATGCATATGGAAATCTGATATGTAATAAAGTGACAGCAAAAGTCATTGAGGAAAAGATGAATTTTTAAATAAATGGTGTTGGGACAACTAGATAGAACTTGGGAAAAGATAAATTTGTGTCTATATGTCATGTTGTCAGAAGGTCATCAAGATAAACTCAAAATATATAAGTACTAAATTTAGAATATGAAACCATTCAAGTATCACAAGAAGGAAGCATAGGTGTGTAGAGGATATATAGGAGGTGATATGGTTTGGCTCTGTGTCCCCACCCAAATCTTATGTTGAATTATAATCCCCAATGTTAGGGGAGGGACCTAGTGGGAGGTGATCGGATCATGGGGGTGAATTCCCCTTTGCTGTTCTCCTGAAAGTGACTGAGCTCTCACAAGATCTGGTTGTTTAAAAGTGTGTGGCACTTTCGCCTTCACTTTCTCCTGCTTTGCCATGGTAAGATGTGCTTGCTTCCCCTCACTTTCCACCATGATTATAAGTTTCCTGAGGCCTCCCAGCCATGCTTCCTGTACAGCCTGCAGAACTGTGAGTCAATTGAACCTCTTTTCTTCATAAAGTACCCAGTTTCAGGTAGTTCTTTATAGCCAAGTGAGAACAAACAAACACAGAAAATTGTTGCCAGGGAAGTGGGGCATTGCTATAAAGATACATGAAAATGTGGAAGCAACTTTGGAACTGGGTAACAGGCAGAGATTGGAACAGTTTGGAGGGCTCAGAAGAAGACAGAAAGGTGAGGGAAAGTTAGGAACTTCCTAGAGACTTCTTGAATAGTTTTGACCAAAATGCTGATAGCGATGTGAACAGTGAAGTCCATACTGAGGTGGTCTCAGATGGAGATGAGGAACTTATTGGGAACTGGAGTAATGGTCACTCTCGCTATGCTTTATCAGAGACTGGCAGCATTGTGGCCCTGCTCTAGGGATTTGTGGAACTTTCAACTTGAGAGAGATGATTTAGGGTATCTGGCAGAAGAAATGTCTAATCAGCAAAGTGTTCAAGATGTGGCCTGGCTGCTTCTAACAGTGTACACTCATATGCATTTGCAAAGAGATGGTCTGAAATTGGAACTTATAGTTAAAAGGGAAACAGTATAAAAGGTTGGAAAATTTGCAGTGAGACCATGTGGTGGGAAACAAACCATTTTCTGGAAGGAATTCAAGGCTGCAGAAATTTCCATAAGCAAAGAGAAGCCAAATGTTAATATCCAAGACAATGGGGGGAAATGTCTCCAGGGCATGTCAGAGACCTTTGCAGCAGCCCCTCCCATTACAGGCCCTGAGGCCAAGAGGGAAAAAAGAGTTTTGTGGGCCATGCCTAGGGCCCTATTGCTCTATGTAGCCTTGGGACATGGCCCCCATGTCCGTTGGCTCTATGTCTCAGCTGCTTCAGCTCTAGCCATGGCTAAAAGGGACCAAGGAACAGCTTGGGCCATTGCTTCAGAGGATGCAAGCCCCAACCCTTGGTGGCTTCCATGTATTATTGGGCCTATGGGTGCCCAGAAGACAAGAGTTGAGGCTTGGGAGCCTCTGCATAGATTTCAGAGGATGGATGGAAATGCCTGGATATCCAGGCAGAAGTCTACTGCAGGGGCAGAGCCCTCATGAAGAACCTCTCCTAGGGCAGTGTGGAGGAGAAATGTGGGGTTGGAGGCCCCACACAGAGTCCCCACTAGGGCACTGCCTAGTGGAACTATGAGAAGAGGGCCACCGTCCTCCAGACCCCAGAATGGTAGATCCACCAATAACTTGCACTATGCACCTGGAAAAGCCACAGCCACTCAATGCCAGCCTGTGAAAGCACTCCCAGACGCTGTACCCTGCAAAGCCAGAGGGGCATAGCTGCCCAAGGCCATGGGAACCCACCCCTTGAATCAGCATGACCTGGATGTGAGACATGGTATCAAAGGAGATTATTTTGGAGCTTTAAGATTTAATGACTGCCCTATTGGGTTTTGAACTTTCATGGGGCCTGTAGCCCCTTGGCTTTGGCCAATTTCTCCCATTTGGAATGGGAGCATTTACCCAATGCCTGTACCCCCATTGTATCTTGGAAGTAACAAACTTGTTTTTGATTTTACAAGCTCATAGGTGGAAGAGACTAGCCTTGTCTCAGATGAGACTTTGAACTTGAACTTCTGAGTTAGTGCTGGAGTGAGTTAAGACTTTAGGAGACTGTTGGAAGGTGTGATTGGTTTTGAAATGTGAAAAGACATAAGATTTGGGAGGGGCTAGGAGTGAAATGGTGGAATGATATGGTTTGTCTCTTTGTCCTCACCCAAATCTCATGTTGAATTGTAATCCCCAATGTTGGGGGAGGGACCTGGTGGGAGGTGATTGGATCATGGGGGCAAATTCCCCCCTTGCTGCTCTCATGATAGTGAGTTCTCATGAGATCTGGTTGTTTAAAAGTGTGTAGCACTTCCCCCTTTGCTGTCTCTCTCCCCTGCTCCACCATGCTTGCTTCCCCTTTACCATCTACCAAGATTTTAAGTTTCCTGAGGCCTCCTAGCCATGCTTCCTGTACAGCCTATGGAACTGTGAGTTAATTAAATTTCTTTTCTTCATAAATTAACCATTCTCTGGGAGTTCTTTATGGCAGTGTGAGAACAGACTAATACAGGAGGTCCTTGTACTATTTTAGCAACTAACCTTCTGTTAATTTGAAGTTATAGCAAAATTAAAAAATTACAAAAAAACAAAGACTTTCTATACATTAGGTTACTCATTTAGAAAAGGTAAATAAAGTGTGTGACCCAATTTACAAAAGAAAAGAAAAAATAAGTTATGTCTTCAAATAATTCAAAAAAATAAATTTCTGATGGATTAAAGTACAAAAAATTAAAACTGTGAAACATTAAATATTGACAACCTTGAGGTAAGAAAGGTTGTTTTAATATGACACAAAAGGCATAGAGATAAATTTGTCTATATTAAAATAAATACCTTCTGTTCTGCAAACAATATAAAAGCAAAGTTAAAAGACAAGTAACAGGAAAAAATATTTGTAACATAAAAGGATTTTTTTTTTTTTTTTTTTTTTTGAGACGGAGTCTTGCTCTGTCGCCCAGGCTGGAGTGTAGTGGCCGGATCTCAGCTCACTGCAAGCTCCGCCTCCCAGGTTCGGGCCATTCTCCTGTCTCAGCCTCCTGAGTAGCTGGGACTACAGGCGCCTGCCACCTCGCCCGGCTAGTTTTTTGTATTTTTTAGTAGAGACGGGGTTTCACCGTGTTAGCCAGGATGGTCTCGATCTCCTGACCTAGTGATCCACCCGTCTCGGCCTCCCAAAGTGCTGGGATTACAGGCTTGAGCCACCGCGCCCGGCCTCATAAAAGGATTAATATCCAGCATATAGAATAAACCTCTGAGATCATTAAAGATAAAAACCCAACAGAAAAATAGGTAAAGGATATCACTAAGGAAAGTCACCAGAAGTGACCGGTATACATATGAACTGCCCCCAGCCTTGTTAATAATCAAAGAAATGGGTATTTAAACCAAAATGTGATACCATTTTATACCAATCAGAGCAACAAAAATTTTAAAGGCTGATTAAAATGTGTTTTAAAGGATGTGGGGAAAAATGCATACTTGCAAACATTGGTAGTAGGAGTAAATATTGTTAAAGTTATACTATATGGCATCAGCAAGTTTCTATGAAAATAATTTAAAATGTGCATATTTGACCTAGAAATTCACCTCTCAGTATTTATCTTTTTTACTCTTGTACTTTATTTATTTATTTTATCTTTTAATGTATATTTTTTTATTTCATAGCTTCTGGGGCTCAAGTGGTTTTTGGTTACATGGATGAATTGTATATTACCAAGTCAGAGATTTCAGTGCACCCATCACCTGAGTAGTAGTGTACACTGAAACTGATATGTAGTTTTTTATTCCTTATCCCCCTCCTTCCCTCTCCCCTTCTGAGTCTCCAATGTCCATTATACCACTCTGTATGCCTTTGCATAACATAGCTTAGCTCCCACTTATAAGTAAGAACATACTGTATTTGGTTTTTTATTCCTGAGTTACTTCACTTAGAATAATGGTCTCAAGCTCCATCCAAGTTGCTGCAAAATACATTGTTTCATTCTTTATTATGGCTGAGTAGTATTCCAAGGTGTATATATACATTTTCTTTATCTACTTATTGGTTGATGGGTACTGAGGTTGGTTCCATATCTTTGCCATTGTAAATTGTGCTGTGATGAACATACACATACAGGTGTCTTTTTGATATAATGACTTATTTTCCTTTGGGCAAATAGTAGTTCACCTCTCAGTATTTATCTTATAGAAAGTGTCACACATGTGGAGCAGCATATAAGGATATTCATAATAGTGATGGTTATAATAGTAAAAATAATTAGAAAAAAGACTAAATGTCTATCAGTGGGGAAGTGGAAGAATCGCTGAATAAACTGTGGTTTATCCACATTTTAAGATATTAAGCAATAGTTTTTAAAAACTGCTATACCTGTACCTCTCACATTCACTTTCATTGGTATTATCATTCTCATTTTAAGGACAACTAATTAAAGCTCAGAGATGCTAAGTAACTTTGTAAGAATATAATCATTAGGTGGTAGAGCTAGGACATGAACCCAAGTCGTGCAACCCCACAGCCTAGTACACTAATGTGTCTCAAAGTACAGCCTTGGGAGTCTGGAGGTGAGACTTCTTTTAGAAAAACACAATGAGGACCTTGGCAAATTCTCTCCCCCAAAAGTATTGATAAAACTGGCCAAAATTTAAAAAGAACCA